CGCCTGCCCCATGGGTGTGCGAGAAGCAGGTGCGGAGCTGGTGGAGGGGGAACGGGAGAGGGCAATGGGTGTTGAGGGAAAGGTGCGTTGCTGCAGCCTTGGCAGTGCAACCCGTATGTTTCCCGTAAACAGTGGACCCCGGGGAGGTGTCTTACGACCCAGACATCAATGCGCACCCGCACCAGTCATAGGTTCTCCGTGAAGAGAGCAGGCCACTGGCTGCACCATACACACCCAGGGACGGGGGAAAGGACGGAGATGGGATGGGGATGGGGACGGAGAAGGGAATGGGGAAGTTGTGGGGGAAGAAAATGGGGGGAGAGGGGAGGGGATGGGAATGGGGATGGGAGTGGGGAACATGGAAAGGGGGAATGACCTGAAAATGACCTGAGAATGACCTAAGAATGACCTGAGAATGACCTGAGAGTGACCTGAGAGTGACCTGAGAATGACCTGAGAATGACCTGAGAATGACCTGCGACTGACCTGCGACTGACCTGAGAATGACCTGCGACTGACCTGAGAATGACCTGAGAGTGACCTGAGAATGACTTGAGAATGACCTGAGAATGACCTGAGAATGACCTGCGACTGACCTGCGACTGACCTGCGACTGACCTGCGACTGACCTGAGAATGACCTGAAAATGACCTGAGAATGACCTGACTGAGAATGACCTGAGAATGACCTGAGAATGACCTGAGAATGACCTGAGAGTGACCTGAGAATGACTTGAGAATGACCTGAGAATGACCTGAGAATGACCTGCGACTGACCTGCGACTGACCTGCGACTGACCTGCGACTGACCTGAGAATGACCTGAGAATGACCTGAGAATGACCTGAGAATGACCTGAGAATGACCTGAGAATGACCTGAGAATGACCTGAGAATGACCTGAGAGTGACCTGAGAATGACCTGAGAATGACCTGAGAATGACCTGAGAATGACCTGCGACTGACCTGCGACTGACCTGCGACTGACCTGCGACTGACCTGCGACTGACCTGAGAATGACCTGAGATTGACCTGAGAATGACCTGAGAATGACCTGAGAATGACCTGAGAATGACCTGCGACTGAGCTGCGTCTGACCTGCGACTGACCTGAAAATGACTTGAGAGTGACCTAAGAATGACATGAGAAAGACCTGAGAATGACCTGAGAATGACCTGAGAATGACCTGAGAATGACCTGCGACTGACCTGCGACTGACCTGCGACTGACCTGAGAATGACCTGAGAATGACCTGAGAATGACCTGAGAATGACCTGAGAATGACTTGAGAATGACCTGAGAATGACCTGAGAATGACCTGAGAATGACCTGAGAATGACATGCGACTGACCTGAGAATGACCTGAGAATGACCTGCGACTGACCTGCGACTGACCTGCGACTGACCTGCGACTGACCTGCGACTGACCTGCGACTGACCTGCGACTGACCTGCGACTCACCTGGGACTGACCTGAGAATGACCTGAGAAAGACCTGAGAATGACCTGAGAATGACCTGAGAATGACCTGCGACTGACCTGCGACTGACCTGAGAATGACCTGCGACTGACCTGCGACTGACCTGAGAATGACCTGAGAATGACCTGAGAATGACCTGAGAGTGACCTGAGAATGACTTGAGAATGACCTGAGAATGACCTGAGAATGACCTGCGACTGACCTGCGACTGACCTGCGACTGACCAGCGACTGACCTGAGAATGACCTGAGAATGACCTGAGAATGACCTGAGAATGACCTGAGAATGACCTGAGAATGACCTGAGAATGACCTGAGAGTGACCTGAGAATGACCTGAGAATGACCTGAGAATGACCTGAGAATGACCTGCGACTGACCTGCGACTGACCTGCGACTGACCTGCGACTGACCTGCGACTGACCTGAGAATGACCTGAGATTGACCTGAGAATGACCTGAGAATGACTTGAGAATGACCTGAGAATGACCTGAGAATGACCTGCGACTGAGCTGCGTCTGACCTGCGACTGACCTGAAAATGACTTGAGAGTGACCTAAGAATGACCTGAGAAAGACCTGAGAATGACCTGAGAATGACCTGAGAATGACCTGAGAATGACCTGCGACTGACCTGCGACTGACCTGCGACTGACCTGAGAATGACCTGAGAATGACCTGAGAATGACCTGAGAATGACCTGAGAATGACTTGAGAATGACCTGAGAATGACCTGAGAATGACCTGAGAATGACATGCGACTGACCTGAGAATGACCTGAGAATGACCTGCGACTGACCTGCGACTGACCTGCGACTGACCTGCGACTGACCTGCGACTGACCTGCGACTGACCTGCGACTGACCTGCGACTCACCTGGGACTGACCTGAGAATGACCTGAGAAAGACCTGAGAATGACCTGAGAATGACCTGAGAATGACCTGCGACTGAGCTGCGTCTGACCTGCGACTGACCTGAAAATGACTTGAGAGTGACCAAAGAATGACCTGAGAATGACCTGAGAATGACCTGAGAATGACCTGCGACTGACCTGCGACTGACCTGCGACTGACCTGAGAATGACCTGAGAATGACCTGAGAATGACCTGAGAATGACCTGAGAATGACTTGAGAATGACCTGAGAATGACCTGAGAATGACCTGAGAATGACCTGAGAATGACATGCGACTGACCTGATAATGACCTGAGAATGACCTGCGACTGACCTGCGACTGACCTGCGACTGACTTGCGACTGACCTGCGACTGACCTGAGAATGACCTGAGAATGACCTGAGAATGACCTGAGAATGACCTGCGACTGACCTGCGACTGACCTGAGAGTGACCTGAGAGTGACCTGAGAATGACCTGAGAATGACCTGAGAATGACCTGAGAATGACCTGAGAATGACCTGCAACTGACCTGCGAATGACCTGCGAATGACCTGAGAGTGACCTGAGAGTGACCTGAGAATGACCTGAGAATGACCTGAGAATGACCTGAGAATGACCTGCGAATGACCTGCGACTGACCTGCGACTGACCTGAGAATGACCTGAGATTGACCTGAGAATGACCTGAGAATGACCTGAGAATGACCTGAGAATGACCTGAGAATGACCTGAGAGTGACCTGAGAATGACCTGAGAATGACCTGAGAGTGACCTGAGAATGACCTGAGAATGACCTGAGAATGACCTGAGAATGACCTGACAATGACCTGCGACTGACCTGCGACTGACCTGAGAATGACCTGAGAGTGACCTGAGAATGACCTGAGAATGACCTGAGAATGACCTGAGAATGACCTGAGAATGACCTGCGACTGACCTGCGACTGACCTGAGAATGACCTGAGATTGACCTGAGAATGACCTGAGAATGACCTGAGAATGACCTGAGAATGACCTGAGAATGACCTGAGAATGACCTGAGAATGACCTGAGAATGACCTGAGAGTGACCTGAGAATGACCTAAGAATGACCTGAGAATGACCTGAGAATGACCTGAGAATGACCTGCGACTGACCTGCGACTGACCTGCGACTGACCTGAGAATGACCTGAGAATGACCTGAGAATGACCTGAGAATGACCTGAGAATGACCTGAGAATGACCTGCCACTGACCTGCGAATGACCTGCGAATGACCTGAGAATGACCTGAGAATGACCTGAGAATGATCTGAGAATGACCTGAGAATGACCTGCGACTGACCTGCGACTGACCTGCGACTGACCTGCGACTGACTTGCGACTGACCTGCGACTGACCTGAGAATGACCTGAGAATGACCTGAGAATGACCTGAGAATGACCTGAGAATGACCTGAGACCGACCTGCGACTGACCTGCGACTGACCTGAGAGTGACCTGAGAGTGACCTGAGAATGACGTGAGAATGACCTGAGAATGACCTGCGAATGACCTGCGACTGACCTGCGACTGACCTGAGAATGACCTGAGAATGACCTGAGAATGACCTGAGAATGACTTGAGAATGACCTGAGAATGACCTGAGAATGACCTGAGAATGACCTGAGAATGACCTGAGAATGACCTGCGACTGACCTGCGACTGACCTGCGACTGACTTGCGACTGACCTGCGACTGACCTGAGAATGACCTGAGAATGACCTGAGAATGACCTGGAAATGACCTGAGAATGACCTGCGACTGACCTGCGACTGACCTGAGAGTGACCTGCGACTGACCTGCGACTGACCTGAGAATGACCTGAGAATGACCTGAGAATGACCTGAGAATGACCTGCGACTGACCTGCGACTGACCTGCGACTGACTTGCGACTGACCTGCGACTGACCTGAGAATGACCTGAGAATGACCTGAGAATGACCTGAAAATGACCTGAGAATGACCTGCGACTGACCTGCGACTGACCTGAGAGTGACCTGCGACTGACCTGCGACTGACCTGAGAATGACCTGAGAGTGACCTGAGAATGACCTGAGAATGACCTGAGGATGACCTGAGAATGACCTGCGATTGACCTGCGACTGACCTGCGACTGACCTGCGACTGACCTGCGACTGACCTGCGACTGACCTGCGACTGACCTGCGACTGACCTGCGACTGACCTGCGACTGACCTGCGACTGACCTGCGACTGACCTGCGACTGACCTGCTTGTGATCCGCAGGGTGCCCGGGTAGTCAGTGCGCCTGCACCCTGGAAGCGTCCATGCTGGGGCGGAGGGGCGGGGGAAGGGGAGGGAGGGGTAGAGGGAAAGGGCGTGGGGAAGTGAGCAGTGTGGCCGCGCCGTAGGGATCGAGACCGTAAGAGAAGTGGCGGGAGCCAGTTTCAGGGACAGAGCTTGGGGGGGGGAGTCGGGTGGGAGGACTTGGGAGAGGAAGGAGCAGGGACGGAGGGAAGGGAGCAACGGCATGGTGGGACACGGGGCCCCGAGGTTTGGAAAGTGGTTTTTAAGGACAGGCAGGCAGGGGACACGAGGGGGTGTAGGATGCGTAGACACAAAGCTGGCAGGCGCAGTCACTACCGTCCGGCCTGATGTCGGGGTAGGAGATTGGGGTCAGGGACGGGCAGGGGAGGGGTATGGAGAAGGCAAAAAGGGAGAGGGTAGGGGATACGTTGAAAGGGAGGTGGTAGGAGGAGCGAGAATGGTAAAAGGGAAAGAAAGGGCTTAACGAGAGGGTGGAGAGGAGGGGGGAGGGGGGGGGAGAGGGCAAGCATAAAGGCAGTGATAAGGGGAGGGGGAGTTGGTAACGGAGGGGGGTGGTGTTTTGAAAAAAAAAGAAGGAATGTGGCAAAATTCTACTGTAATCATGTGGCAACGTAGTGGCAGGGGTCAGGGACGAGGGGAGGGTGGGAAGGAAAGAGTTGGGCAAGGGAGGGAAGGGGGCACTGCAGGGTGTTTGGGACGATTGACTCTCAAACACACATCCCCTCCCCTCATCGACTGCTCGCAGCCCCCCACTCATCGTGACGTCGCCTATCACACATCGCCTCTCAAACACATCACCTTCATCCTCCTTCACCCCCCCTTAATCCCCCTCTCAGCCCCATTCACCAGTCCCCTAATGTAATCTCACATGCGTCTCCACCTCCCACCCACTTCCGTCCCCCTCTTCCCTTCAACCCCTTTTCCTTCACCACCCCTTCAACCCCTTTCAGCCCCATTCCCGCGTGCCCCTCTTGCGCACTCTGCCCTCTCCCACCCATCCTCACCCCTTCGCCCGATTCTTCTCTGGTCCTCCGCCCTCCTGCTCCGCCCCCTGCTCCCCCTTCTCCTACCCCTAGCCTCGTTTCCGCCAAGCCCAAGCCACGCGTGCCCGCATCCTCACTTCCCCCTCCCCTCTTTGCGCCTCCCGACCCTGGTCCGTCTCCCCTTCCCCCTCCGCACGGCCGCCGGTCGCTGCCTGCCCCCGTCTGAGCTCCCCATCCCCCTCTTACTGGGGCGCAAACCGTTTTGCGCGGACTCTTGCGCAGGCGGCGATGGAAGCGCGCGGGAAGCGGGGCTGTTAGTGGCGGGGTGCGGCGATGAGGAAATGATATTCGCGCTGCTGCCGCCGCCGCAGTTGTCGCTTCGGCCTTTGCTGCTCACGGTGAAGCTGCTGTTTCCGCCACTACCGCAGTCGTCGCTGCCGATGCCGCCATTGCTCTCCTCATCGCGTATCTGCTGCCACGGCTCGCCGCCAACGCGAAACGGGTTTTGCCGCTTTATCGTCGCCTACTGCCGTTTTCCCGCCGTCGACAGTCGCCGCTCTCTCTCAGTCCGTCGCCTTCTCATCACCGTACGTCGCACTGTGTCGTCGCCTCCTGTCTGTCGCTCTGACGAAGTAGCGCTTGCGCCACTACCTGTATCGTCACGGTATTGTGATGTCGCTCAACGAATGTCAGGCTTGCGCCTACTGTTTGCCCACCCGCCATTGACACTGCTCCTCGAGCCTTTGCTGTCGCTGCTCTCCGCCGTCGCGAATCAGCTCTTCTCACTCTCGTCGCCCTGCCTGTCGCTTCGACGCGACGGCTATCGAGTTACTATCCGACGCGACGCGACCAGACGACTATTCGACGGCCCACTGTTGCCCACCCACACACACACACAGACACACACATACACAAACACACAAAAACAAAAAAGGGGAAACACAAAAAGGAGGACCCAAAAGGGGGCGCAAGACCAAGTGCAAGGATGCCACTAATGGCAAATAACGGGCTTAAAAAAAAACTAGACAAGATGCGCACGGAAGAAACAGCAAAAAGGAATGAACTCGGGCTCTGATACCATCTTGAAATTGAAGTTATAGACGAGGGAGGGTAAATGGTAAGGAGAAAGAAAGAAAACACCTAGGAAGAAAAGGTAAGATCAAAGTAAAACCAAGTTGAAAAGCAAAAACAAGTTGAAAGGAAATCTTGAAGTATGGAGTAATTAAGAATGAAGAAAGTTTTGAAGGAGATGATAGATAGACTTGATAGGGATAAAAGGGACCAAACAAGATTGGCTTAAAAGAAAGTATTGAAGAAAAGGTAAAGGGCTTGAAAGATACTTGAAAGGAACTTGTAACGAACTTGAGAATAAGAACTTGATTATTATGGAAAGAGCTTGAATATAAAACAACTTGATAATAGCAAATGAACTTTGATGTAAAAGAAACTTGGTGAAAAATGAGAGGAAGGGATAACCACTTACTTGAAAAGAGTTCTTACTATTATGTTGTAGAAGTTGATCTTCACTTCAAGCTTAAATGTTGTCTTAGTTGTTAATGAAGAACCTCAAAGCTTGAATGTTGAGAAGTTGATCTTGAATGTTGACTTGTAGATAATGTTTGTTGAATGAAGAGAAACCTCCAAGCTTGGATGTTGAGGTTGGAGCTTGGACCTTGGGTAGAAGAATACACCAATCTTGCTTGAAGCTTTAAAGTACATTAATCAAAGGGAGGTACATGGTAGGATCTTGAGATCAACTATCTTTGATGATCTAGAAATAAAACTATGTGGCACAAACTTCTCTAGAATTGGAGCATATGGCTATGAGCTTGGGTTGGGAGAGGTTGGTGGTGATGATGAAGCCTTAGGAGTTGGAGCATAAGGAGGAGGACTTGAGGTTGGCCTTGAGGGAGTTTGAAGAACTTGTTGAGAGTTTGGGTATGAAGTAGCATTGAAGAATATTTTTTTGAAGAAATGAAGAGGACCCTTTTGTATTTGGTGGAGCTTGATGTTGGATGAAGGATGAGGAAAGGATGAATGGTTGTGATTGGTTGAGTTGGATAAGATGGGGGTGATGAATGTGGCCTTGAAGTGAAGGCTTGGTGAAGAGAATGAATGTGGCCTTGAAGTTAAGGCTTGGTGAATGGGATGTATTTGGCTTTGATTTTAAGGCTTGGTGAGTGGAATGAATGTGGCTTGGATTGGAAGGCTTGGTATGGAATCTTTTGTTTGATTGGTGGATAATGGGATGAGAAAGATGATGAGGATAGGAGGAGAGTTGAGGTGGAGGATTGATAGGTTTTGATTGGTAGGTTTTTGCTGTCTGGAGATAGGAAGGGTGTGGTGGCGAGTGGGCATTTTTGCAAGATGCCTTTTGCATATTCGGATTTTGGCTGACGGGGAAATTGCGGCGAAAAATTTCGCCACGTGAAATATTTCCCGCCACCCTGGTGCCATGCGAGCAGCAGCCACAGTTCACTGCAACATCCCCCCGCACTGCTGACCCTCAGAGCGAGACGAAGAAGGAGCGGAAGGGACAGCAGTGGAGAAGGACTCAAGAGACTCGAGCGGCGCCAATCCAACACGGTGGCGTCCAAGGACGAATTGGTGCCGTGGAAGTATCTTAGTCAGAAAATCAGCAGCCTGGTCCGTGGTGCTGCAGTAGACCGGTGTCACAACCTTGTTCTTAATCAGCTCCCGAATGTAGTGATACTGGGTATCAATATGCTTGGTGCGTCCATGATAGACCGGGTTCTTGCTCAAGGCGATTGCCGACGTGTTGTCAATGTGGAGAACGGTCGGCTCAAGCTGGGGAAGACCCAACTCCATCAGCAACCCTCGCAACCACACAGCCTCTCTTGCTCCTTGCGTCACAGCCATGTACTCCGCTTCCGTTGAAGATAGTGCCACACAGCCTTGCTTCTTCGATTGCCAAGAAATTGCTGCTCCCACCATCACAAACATGTAGCCTCCCGTGGATTTACGCTTTGAAAATGGACCTGCCCAATCCGCATCTGTAAAGCCATGCAAGACACTACCATGCTCATGTCCATGAAAGAGGAGACCAAATGATTTAGAGCCGGAGAGATAGCGCAGGACACGCTTTGCAGCGTTCAAGTGCTGAGTAGATGGTGAGGAAAGGAATTGAGAAAGCATGCCCACAGCTTGAGAGAGATCGGGGCGGGTGCAGACGGATGCGTACATGAGGCTACCGACAATGCTCTGGTAAAGATTAATGTCGAGGGGGGAAAGGAGTGATGAGGGAGGTTTGGTGGAAGAAAAAATGGAAGAAGAGGATGAAGGCGCTGTTAAAATTTAGAAGAAGAAGAGGATTGCACTAGCAAGAATGGGGATACAAATAGCAAAACCCTAGAAGAGTTGTACTCGCCTGTCGAGGCGACCCTTGGGCCGGGGCAGGTCGGGGCCGGGGCAGGTCCGGGACGGGGCAGCAGGGGCCGCGCACGGCTCCCCTGGGCAGCGCGACGGGGCAGCAGGGCCGCGCGACGGGGCAGCAGGGGCCGCGCGCGGCTCCCCTGGGCAGCGCGACGGGGCAGCAGGGCCGCGCGACGGGGCAGCAGGGGCCGCGCGCGGCTCCCCTGGGCGGCGCGACGGGTCCCCGTCGCCCGTCGCAGCGCCTCCCGGGGGCGACGCGGCGAGTGACGGGGCAGAAACCCGTCGCGCGCCTCGGGGCGCACGGCGGGCAGAAAACCGCCGCGCGCCTCGGGGCGCACGGCGGGCAGAAAACCGCCGCGCGCCTCGGGGCGCACGGCGGGAAGAAAAACTGCCGCACGCCACGGGGCGTGCGGCACAGAGAGTAGCAGTAGCAGTTGCAGCGGAAGCAACAAGGTGGTGAGCCCACCCACAGGATCGATCCAAGGGGATCGACCTGCTCTGATAGCATGTTAAAATTTAGAAGAAGAAGATGATTGCACTAGCAAGAATGGGGATACAAATAGCAAAACCCTAGAAGAGTTGTACTCGCTATAGAGCACCCCACTACAGGCTAGAGCATAATATTCTGACAGGCGCAAGAGCCTCGTGAAACTCGTCCCAGTCAGAAAGGGGTGCAGACTGAGAGGGCTGAAGGTCAGAAGTGGAAGGAGAAGAATGCTGGAAGTTAGAAGGGAGAGGTGTAGATGCAGGATTGCAGGTGAGAAGGCCGAAGCGAGAGAGGACCTTGTGAATGTATCGCTCTTGTGAAAGAAATAGAGAGCGAGAAGGACGGTCACGAATGATGTTCATGCCAAGGTAATATGATGGCTCACCCATGTCTGTCATGACAAACTCCTTGGTGAGCATACCTTTGATGTGGGTGAGAAGGGAGAGAGAACCTGACACCATGAGGATGTCATCCACATACACGATCAACCACAGTACCTCATGCACCTCCGTGTGCAGGATGTAGAGTGCAGGGTCATACTCAGACTGGGTGAAACCTTGTGCCAGCAGGGCAGACTCCAATGCGTGATACCAAACCCGTGGAGCTTGCTTCAGGCCATACAGGGACTTGTGTAGCCTGCAGACTCTCTTAGTACCATCATGATACCCATCAGGTTGAGCCATGTAGATTTCTTCCTCTAAAATGCCGTAAAGAAAGGCGTTGGAGACGTCCAGCTGGATGATGTAGAGATCCATTCGTACTGCCATACCAAGAAGAGCGCGGACACTGGTGAACTTGGCGACCGAAGCAAATGTTTCATTGTAGTCTTCTCCAGGAACTTGAGAATATCCTTTGGCGACCAAACGAGCCTTGAACTTGTCCAAAGATCCATCACCCTTCACCTTCACCCGGTAGACCCATTTTACTCCCACGAGCTTCTTTCCCTTGGGTAGTGGCTCCAAAGTCCAAGTCCCCCGGTCGAGTAAACTTTCCAGTTCTGCCTTTTCCGCTGCTAACCACTGCTCCTTAAAGGCTCCTGCCATAGCTTCTTTGTGATTGAGAGGCTCGGGTGGAAGTTGGGAAATGGCGAAACAGGTGGCGTGAATCCTGCATTGGAAGCAGGTGCGACCACTACACAAATGACTTGGAGGTGAGGTGAAAGTGGACACCGGCACATGAGAGGTGAAGTTCGCAGATGACGAAGTAGAAGATGAAGATGGTGCTGCAAAGTGCGACGTGCTCATCGCTGGTGGGTAGTTGATATCGATCCGGTTGGGTGAGGGAGGTGGTGCTACCGGTTGAGAATGGTCTTCTGATGAAGTTCTATCAGGCGGAGTTGTCGAATG